GTCGTCTATAAATATCTCAAAAAAGGCAAAATATTTTGAAAATTAAATCATGTAAAGAAAATGCCAATCTAAATAACTGATAAAATTTTCAAGTATCTATACTTATACTTTTTGAATAATAACAAATATTTAAAATCGTTTGAGGATAAATCGTTATCGTTACGCTATTTCGTAAAAATTTAAAATTCAAACGTACTTAAAATTTTTCCTATAATGATACTTCGAGTTTTCTCTATAGCTACTTGAAGGAAAACTTAGTGTTGTATTTTTAATCCTTAGTTTTAAACGAAAAAAATTTTATGATTTTTCAACTTCAAACTTACTTGCAAATTTTCGCGTTTTCGACAGATTTCGTAAAATTTTGAACTATAAACGCTTATTAAAAAAAATTGTGACTTACGATTTTAAATTTTTTTAGCTACAATAATAACAACTTATAAGGAACCTTGTTTTAAATTTTCAAGTTTTTTTGGTCGTCCAACATTTTTTTACCGACACTTCAAAAAAAAATTCTCAAAAAAATTGAAAATTTCAGTGGTCTATAAATAACTCAAAAAAAGGCAAAAATTTTAAGGCAAACATTAAACTGTATATAGATAATACTAACATAAACATTTGGTGAAAATTTCAAGTATTTACAGTGATTAGTTTTTGAATTACAACCATATAAAAAAAATCGATTTTTTTGAAAACTGTTGGAAAATGTTTACTTTTGACCTCTATAATGCACCAAAGATATTCACTTTTCCATTGGAAATTTAAGCATTATTTCAAGTAGTTATGCTGTACACAGACACAAAAAATACACACTTCGTTCAGAATCTAATAATAACAAGATTGCATGTCAGCACAAAACAAGATATAACGTATAAAATTAAATACCATAATATTTATGGTGTATTAAGTTTATGTAAAACAGCTGTTTGCAGAGAGAGAGGAGGGGGTCATCAGTGAGGATAGCTCGGACAGAAAATTAGATAATTTGGAAAGGTCATTAAAAGAATTCAACCTAATGTTATTTTTAATAGCATTGATATCGTCGGGCTTGGAAACAACAGATGCATAAGACGGTTCGGACTGAGAGGTAGTAAAAGTGTTTGGAAGAGATAATTCGACCGGTTTATTTATTTTGTCTGCGTTCGTTTTTTGTTCTGATGGTTTTTAAGATGCTTTGAAAGTGAATTGAAAGCTGGGCAGTCTTTGTAATTGGCCGACTATGGTCACCGGCACAGAGGGCGCATTTGGCTGGGCTGTTATAGTCTTTTGTGCATTCCTTTCGATATATATATATATATATATTTCGTCCAACTATATAGGTTATAGATACGCACAACATTCGCAGACATGAATCGTGTTAAGTGGACGCTACACCGGCATGACTGTGTTGTCTCCGTCTTATAAATGTAAAATATTGCGAAAACTGTTTTGCGAGTGAAAGAACCACTCAAGCTGTAATCCAAGCTAACCAGCCAAATGTTCACACTATAAAAGTATTTTGATGTAATATCACTCATCTATCTAATAATTTCAGAATTCGAGTCCTGTAATCAAAAAAATTTTTTTTTTTAATTAGTGAATTTATATTATATAATTATACTATATATAGTGATAAACTTATTTTAACTATAAAAGTTAGTTGACCATGATTTTTCATTATTACCTAATTGGTGTAGTAGTTAGCTCGTACTGATGGATTTGTGAGATTTGTAGACAACATTAAAAAACAAACAAAGTTAAATAAAAAAGGCCTAAATAAGTTGTATTATAATCTACAAACCACGCAAAATTGTATATTTCGCGTTGATATAGTTAATCCAGAGGAATAGAGGATAGTCAATTTCTCTTACAGTCGTATAATTATTTTTAACAGAAATGCTGTCATACCTCATAAGTTATTATATTATTACATGTTAGATGTAGAACCTAATTGTCATTTTGAATGATTTATTTTCTAAGGGAACAAGTTACAAATTAGTTGTATAACTGTATAAGTATACCTACAAATAATTAATACTTCAGTGGCAACGTACGCCATAATACAAATTAAATTGTGAAATACACATAGGACTGATTCTTGGAAAGTTTGACATCAGCATGAACTATATTATAATAATATAATATCCTGTGATGTTTGATAGGAGCAACTACAAACATTTTTTTTAGTTAAAACAAAACTATAGTCTATATTAGGCACGTGATGTTATGTTTCATGCGTTGAAAGTTCTTCTGAATAACACACAATTATACAGTCAATTATAGTATTATGATCGCATTGATAAATTATGTTACTTTGTTCTAAAACATAATATAAGATATAGATACCTAACTAAATATAACACGATTTAAATCAATAACATTTGACCCTTCTGTGGGCGTAAATCAACATTTAATTATTTAATTACGCGTTTTAAACATTTTATAAAGCAAAATTTTAGATACCTTTATGGACAACATATAATTCCACGGCACGGCAGCACACAGCGTATTAATACTTTATAGGACTTTTGTAATTTTAAAAGACTATCGTTCAAATAATTAACGAGTAAGGATTTTAAAACGGATATATAGTAACAGGATTAAGTATATTATAATATGGCATAAGAGTAAAGGCAGTATTTTAAAAAGGTATACGAACGTATAATAAGCATAGTATAATATCATATATGTACAAACAATATGCATGATGCTACCACGGGAAAACCCTTAAATACCGGATACTCGGTTACTGAAATGTTGTCCAATATTTAGAGGTGTCACTGTTTTTTATCAAACAATGTCTAGAGGATTATATGTATTATGTAGGTGCACATAATAAACAATAATATACGTACATAGCTGGTGTATGCATCGGGCTCTGCAGGGCCGGTATATCGAAAAATAATTATTGCAGCTCAAAAGACAATTAAATATTACAGTATTAATATAATACTGAGCTGGTTGAATTTTCTGCAGATAAAAGTTACAAGTTACAACGAATTACGA